AGAAGAGGTCATTCGACAAATATTTATTGCATGTATCGCTTGGGTTTAGGATAAAGGCGGAGGTGGTGTAGTGACAAGTGGCGCGCTTACCACTCGCGCGGCGCCGGGTTCGAATCCCGGGTCGACACCCGCCCAGGCCAACCAAGCCTTCTACCCTCCGGGGACGGTAAATTGGTACCAGATTCGTCTGGGAGGATAAAACACTGACTTGTACATCGGCTGGCCACCGCAAGTCATTGTATAGGCCACATCGCATTCAATAAGCCACTACGATTCTGAATGGAAGTAGAATGCGTGCCGCATCCCACAAAGGGATTGATCAACGGCGAAGACTTTATCCTTTTTTTATCGCTTGGGTTTCATCCCATTACGCCTCGCTTCGCAAATAACCGTTAGGTAGGAGGTTTCAGAGATCCCCTTGTGCAAAACTAGATTCACCGTGATAGATGTGTGGGTTTCTGACACAGCCCAAAGGGCGGTAAACCTTCGCGGTTCGTGAAAGCTTTCCAAGTACGGCTATTCTACCCGGATGCCGTCAATCCCACCATTATACTAGTAGTCCTTCAAATGCTCTCCCTCAGGATAATGAGATCGCTCTACTTTCCGTTGAGGATATCAAAAGCTGTTATTATCATTTTTACATGGCTAATTAGGCGCGACAAGTCTATCAAAACAGTCTCATCAAAGGATCACTAACTTGCTTTTGTTTGACGCTAGGATCCCTTGAAGGGCACCTAGGCTGATTCAGGTGTTTCCGCAGTACGGCAGTGTTGGGTAAACAGAGGTACAAATTCTAGCCAGGGTATACCATTAGTTAGGGATTTCGTTCAAGTCCGTACGACCCCTCTCCTCCTTTTTGTGCGACAACCCCCGGTTCCCTGCTCATCGAGCTGTCGAGCGGGGAGTGGGAGTATACAGGGGGGGGGGGGGGGAAACAAAAAAAGTCACTTCGACCGAGTCACATACCAGCAAAGTTTTCGCAGCCCAGACAGAGGACGTGGATACGAGTACCAGGCGAAGATACCCAAGATGTTCTCGATAAGCAAGCAGCAGGCTCTCGTCCATCACCTTCATGTACACCAAAGTCATCTCCAGTCGCAGCCTGACTGGAGAAGACCTTTGGAATTCATGTCACCTCCAAACAGCTGCGAAACTTCTAGTATGGAGTCACCCATGGATAGCTACCTGGAGACCAGTACTCTCGATCTGGATGACCTCCAACATCGAGCAGCTCCGTCAACGTCGCTACGGTCTAGGACATCATCTTCACCTCAGTCGCCAAGGCGCCAGTTGATGGTGGGGACCGGACGTACCTGGAATGGAGAGACCGATATTTTCTTCGTGGGCCCCGGACTAAAGGTGAGCGCTGGCGGTTACATCGAGCAACTCGAGAAGAATATCCTCTCCACATGTCGTCGCCCGTACCTTCTTGGAAACTTTGTACTGCTACAGGATTGGGTGACACCACATGGAATCAAAGGGCGTTGGGAAAACTCTTGCCTACTTGGAATGGAAGGGGTTGAGTACCTGAAGAAGGTGGAATATCTAAGCAGGTCACCTGACCTAAACCCCTCAATTACCTGGTTCGGGCGGAGTTCAATAGGGTGGTCTACAGTGGCGGAGAAATCAACGATCTCGCTGAACTCAGGCACCCACTGACGGTCGCGTGGCAGAATCTCTCGATGGCGCTCCTCCAGAAGGCTGTGGCGGAGTATGATAGTATTTAATATGCTCTTCAATATGGTGGTAAAATGTCCGATAAGAATTTAATAAAGTGTAACCTTATAGCGCCTTGAAAGTCAAGGGAGAAAAAAGTTTTTTTTTCGCGCTCCCTTGGTCCCCCCCCTGTACTGTATCGTGCATTCTGTTCAGTGTCACCATGGCTGCCGCGACCTGGACGAGCCACTGTCGAAATGTGATACAAGGTGCACGGAAGAAGGTATTGCCTTTGACAGCTGTGCCCAAGGGTGTCATGCGGTTGAACATGCTTTCTTAGTTCAAGTACAAGGTGAGTCTAATTTTTGTTGAAGAGCTTTCCCTACAATTTTTTTACTACGCTTTTGACGAAATCTAACATAACCTTCTGAACTGTGCTGTCTTCTAAGAAGGGGTTTAGACCCTGTGCCTTCATGAAGAGCAGTGGGATGTGCCAGACGATCACCTTTCTCGAACTACAAAAGTCTTGGGGTGTATTGGCAAAAGAACTTCACTAAGTCGGCCAGACTACTGTCAAACCAGTCCGGTATCAATAACCGACCCGCGAAGAAGGTGGACCTTCACAAGTCATGGTTAAGTGCACAGGCCCTTACATCGTGGGTGCTCGCGCTGGCTATTGCATTACCTGCGCCAACTGCGCTAGGATATTTCCAGCTGATTTTCAGCTGCTTTGATCTAGTTCCACAGGAGTTCCAAGTTTGTTCTGCAAGCTCAAAAGGAAGTATACAAAATTCTAAAATTTTTCGGTGTGAAACACTTCGTCTGATTCCTGATTGTGAGGCGGCCCCAGCTACGGCGGCATGTGTCTTAGAACTTGGAAGAATTTTGCTGGCTCTCAGCGCTGTTTATTCTCCACTAAAATCCTGATGAGGCCCCCAAGCTGCACTGTATTCAAGAAGGACACATGTGCAATTTCCGTGATGCAGATTTCACATTCACCATACCGTAGTCGTCATTTTATTGACCCAAAAGTGGTTGCTATTGGGGTTCACTTTACGTTGCACTTTTAATCGCATTCACAAATCTTCTTCGATTTCCTTCTTCAATCTTGTTTTATGGAGGGACAAAAAATTAGTTTTTAGAACAGATTTCCAGACCTGATAGGGGTGGAATGCCTCGTTGACTATTCTGAGGCATAATCAAACTACGTATATGATCGAGGTTAAACTGGAGTTCTGTGTCAATGCTATCGCGATCGCGAGCCCACGTGACAGGGACTCTTATTTGGCTGATGGTCTCCACACCGCCACGACCACGGTTTTTGCCGACAGCAGAGGCTTTTCTGGGGCGGAAATAAAGGGCAGAGAATAAAGCAGGAGGAGGTTATGCAGGAGACATGGCATAAATGCGTACTCCCACTATTCACTGTAAAAATCTTCGAGCCTAGAAATATGCTCAGCCCAGAGCTTATTTTTTCGTCTGTTCTTTGTTAGGAGCACTAGACCAAACATTGTACGGTGCTACAGGATGAATCTATTTGGGGCAATCGGATCATTCACACGCTTGTATGAATAAGTGTATATACTCCCTGAGATGTGAAAGGGACGGGTAATTGATTCCAGATTCGTATGGGAGTATAAAAACACTAACTTGAACAGTTGACTGCTTGGTTGACCCCACACAGTTCATTGTGTAAAGGCCCCATCGCATTCAATATGCGATTCCTAAAGAAAGTAGAATGCGTGCCGCATCCCGAGAAAGTGATTGATCAACAGCGAAGACTATTCTGGACCTCATCCATCAGGTTGAGCATAGGTGTTTCGTTTCCTGTTCAAGACTTTTCTAGAAAGTTTTGAAATGTTCGAGAGATCCCAACATGTATTATATAAAAAGTTTAAGAAGGGAATTCAGAAGTGCTTTCACTTCTGAGGTTTTGTGCACTCATAATGGAGAATATTGAAGTTGACACAAAATAATTTCATTTCTCATGCTGAAACGACCTCCGCCTGCGGCCCCGCTTCAAGTGTTAAACTTTCGAGAAACTGAAAAGTTGAGAAAAGTCGGTAATATTGAGGCGGGGGAGGAGGGGGGCAAGAGAGAAAAACGCTTTTGCCAAACGTTCGGCAGCGACAGGACCTGCCTCAACCTCAATTTCCCAGTTCACGCGGCTTTTCCGTGTCAACGCAGAGTTATACCCGAAATGCTACAAATATCGAAATACTGTAAAGCTTTAATTTCAGGAAATACTGTAAAGCCTCAATTTCAGCGCTTCTTTATCAAATCACAGTCACGATTGATGCCCTTGACGACAGCCTACGACTACGATGGCAGTTCCCCGAAACAGTGTTGGCTCAGGTTTTTCTTTGTAACTGCGTTTATACTTGGCCAGAATTTTCGCACAGCTTCCACTCCTCATGAGCAGTCATCGCTGCAGACATAGCCATTTTTTTCAATCCCACATTCGAGTCTCATTTTTTAAAGATTTCAGTTTTGACCCTTTCGAACGTGATCGCTTGATAGATTTCATTTACTTCTTGTTTTTAGTTAACCAGAATCGATTATTTATTGGGGCGGGTCGTAATTTTGGGACCCCTTGGAATTTCTTAAATTCACTTGTTCAACATAGACAGCGCTTTTAATGCCATTTTTACAAGCATTTGGATGATCCAGCATTCAACTGAATAACGTGCTGCTCAAGTACAATATATCGCATAATGACTAGAACTTTTAACTGCAGCGGTTGAAGTCCTTATGACTCTAGCTGTCTTTTCCCCCGACTTGCTGTTTTCAGGTACAAGAAGTCGCCGCCGCTGACGTTGGTTGGTATGCTCAGAGCAGACCTTCCAATGGAAAGACAGGCTGGAAATGGACCGCCTTACCTGCAACGGTATGAATGAATTCCCTTCGAAATCTATAACATTGTACTACACACTGTACTACTAAATTCACGAGGAGAATGTAATTGTAGGCATTTCGAAATTCGACCCTTTCCACGGAAGTGAACATTCCATTTGAACCTACCTCTCATCTCCAGGTCTGTCCACAAATCTCCTCACATCACTCAGCTTCCTCCGCTTTACCGTATCCTCTTTCATGTCCGCCTCGCTCTTAGCTACCGCAGCCGTATTGGAGTGTCGCGGGCTATCACCTACCAAATGCCATTGCGTGTGGTTCCCAGTCGACTTGAGATCTCGTCACAACTGCAGTTAGCTGTCGATAAGGTGGCAATATGTTGGAAAGCTGAAGAATCCATGGTGAGGCTTTCTGTTAACTAGGTTAATAAGTTTTCTTCTTCACTCGAAATGAAACTGATTCCAAGAACTATGTGTCTACTTCAGCAACTGACCATGAGATATCCTGTAAAGATCCCTAGGAGCGGAGTTCACGTTCGTCGTGTGGGCGGAGCGGGTCTACTATTATATTCTCTTATTCGTTCGTACCTCCTGTTCACCGGGAGTGATGTAATGAGGGAGGCAGAATGGTACCCAACTCCGCCCATACAGTGAGCGTGGAAACTGCGCCTGAACTAAGCTCCATTCACGGATCAAGCTCATTTCAACTGAGCTTTCCCTGCTCCGGAATGGGGACTTATTCCAATCTAGCCTATTGCGGCAGTAGGTGTGAAGCCTCAAAACCGTCATTCGGAGGATTTCACGGCCACATTAGCGAGCACATTTCGAACTATGGATAGATCTGAAGTATCAAGAGCTATTACACACATGCAATTAATTTTATTCTTCCTTCAAAATAAGTTGCTGCCCATAATTTGTGAAAGAATCACTGTTGTGCTTCAGAAACAGTTCAAAATCGCTCTGGCCACTCTCGATGGGAATTCCCTCTTTACGGATACTACTGATACGAGGTGAGACTCACTATTTCTGGTTCTCCACAGTTTCTGAATTTTCTGATTAACTGAATATTTTCGAGCTTTCCTTGAGGGCTATTGGAACAGATATGCATTATCGTTCAGCATAAGTGTACAGATATTCGATGCCCACAGGTCAGCCGGGCCCACCCATTCTATTGTCAAACAGCTTCGAGTTCTTTTTTTTAGCAGCGGTTCATTACGAGAAATAACCTGGTATTTAGTGAAAACCATGAAGGAGTTGGGTGAAGGGGCCCAACGTATTCTATTAGGAGTGTTCAAGACTGCGCCTTATTGGCAGGGAGATGGGGATCCGCAGAAGCCAATGGCAGCTTGGTTTTACTCAGGATTTTTTCGCGCTGCAAACGTATCTTCCCGGTCCCAGCTATTTGATATTGACCTAGCCTGTTATTACGGTGACTTTGGGAGATCCTCCTGTTCGCATTTGCTTCGCGTGATTAGCAGTGTACTTTAGCAAAGATGTTTGCGAGTATGTGAGTGGAATCGCGAGCTGTAAGCGTGCGAATTCTCAAAAAATGGAAAATGGCTTGGCTGAGTGGTGCAGCTGTGAAAAAGCTTCATGGCGTCCATGATAGGGATCGAACATTGAAATCGAAGGACCCAAATGCAGCCAACATTCCTCGGAACTTGTCTTTCCATTCACAGATTTCTAGACTTCTGATGTATTTCATTCACTCAGATGCTACCTGTTGGAATCACTCCCGAAAGAGAACTGTTGTCGCGCAACTGTGACTGATGTCACCACCGAAGAGCAGCCGCAATCAGCAAGCGTGAAACTGGATGTAATTCAACCGCCAGGTAAGATTTTTCGATTATTTGTTCACATCTTCGTTTTCCTTGATACCATAGCCTGACCTCGTTGTGTGCTTTAAATTCTAGCCTCAAGGAGGTTTGGGTGAGGCCTTCTGCGTAGGTACGTTTGAGTCTCAGCGCCATTTCGCCTTGTCCTCATTTCCTTCAGTCGTTTTTCACTGTGGGGCGGATAAACGCGCTGGCGCTGCTACAGAACGCACACGACAGGGAGCCCAAAAAAAGACACTTTGCCCGAGACACATATAAGCAAAGAGTAACGTAGCCCGGAAGAGAATACGTGGATACAGCGAATGGTACCTAAGATAACCTGTTAAGGTACCTGTTCTCGATGAGCAAGGCCCAGGCTCTTCGCCCTAATTACCGTCATTGTAACCGCTGAAATATGAAGCCATCTGCCAGTCGCAGACCGAACTGAAGGTGGCCTATGGAATTCACGGCTCCTCCAGACAGCTGCAAAACCTCCTGTATGGAGTCACCCATTGGCAGCTACCTTGGGGACCGGCACTTTTGATCTGGAAGACCTCCAACATCGAGCAGCTCTGACAACGTCGCTATGGTCCAGGATGTCATCTTCTCTGCAGTCGCCGTGGCGCAGGTTGATGGTGTGCTGGAAATTCCTGGGATGGAAAGGCCGACACTGACTTCGTGGTCCCCAGACTGGAGGCGAAAGCTGACTGTCATCATCGAACAGAGACATGGAGAGTATCCTGCCTTCATGTCGTGCTCGTACCATCTTGGAAACTTCGTACAGCTACAGGATTGGGTGCCAGTACATGGAATCGAAAAACTGTGCCCTATTGGAATCAAAGCATTGAGTATTTGGGAAGACGGAATATGCAATTGAGTCACCTGACCTTAACCCCCTGGATACCGGGTTTGGGAGGAGCTCAACAGGGTGGCACAGCGAGAAATCAACGATTTGGCTGAATTCAGGCACCGCACGACAGAATCTCTTCAAGTCGTCCGTCCAAAAGGCCGTGATCGTGTACAATATGCTGTTGATTTCAATGGTGAAAATGTCCGATCAGAGCTTAATGAAGTGTAACTTAATTTGCTTTGAAATGCGAGGGAAAAAGTTGTCTTTTTTTGCAACCCTCCCGCCCCCCCCCTCCTGTATGTGTACATAGGGAAGCTTCCATCGTCGCACCGACTAGGACTATACCCAAAGGCTTCCTCAGCGACAAGCCCCCACTCTTTACCGTCTCGGGAGAGAAGAAGCGCCAATCAAGAAGACATAGGGCTGCGTCCATATGATCAGCCAAAATTGTCCCTCGAATTTGCCAGAATTTTGTTCGGCAGTAATCTCCATGTTCGCCTTTCTTGTAACCTGGCATTTGTTCGGTAGCTTTTTTTGAAATTCACGAGTTCCTCTTTTTCCTCTGAATTTTGTTATTGATAAGTCATTTAAGCTCCTCCTCCTGAGGAATTAGTTCCTACGCCGACTCGTCTTGTTCTTTCAACCGGCACACATCTTCTGCAAATGAGAAATACTGACGATTACATCGTGTCGGAGGAGCCTCTAGCGGTTCCGTTTGAAATACCTGAGGGCGATTCTATTACAAGTAGGTGCTTCAGAACTTTATTTTTACGATTTTCAACGACTCTCATTTTCTCACACCCGAATATTCTTCTTTATCGCTGAAATCGATTAAGAAGAATATTCGGGTGCGAGAAAAACTTGAATCGATGGAACTTTGATTCTTCTTCGACTGAAACAAGCGGAATCTTATGGTTTTTCCTTTTGAACGTTCTGAGCGGCTCAGCTGTTTTCCCTTTTTTCATTTGGAAGTCCCTTAACTATCTCTCATTTGAGGTGTCGAGGGCATTTCATCCAGTTCGCTGGTAGTTGGAAGCAGTCGGGGATCGGTATGGTTGCTTTCGTTGGAATATAATGACACCGCCATCTACACCACGCCGACCGTCATTCGCCAGTCAGAGGAGGCTGAACATGCTGCCACGCAGATCGAATACGGTAAGCTTCCTCTTAAAACCATGCCGAGGCGAACCACTCGTTGGTAGACTGAGCCTCCAATCTTGACATTAATCTGGGCTGAAGAAGCACACATCTCCTAGACAATTGAAAAGTCTGATGAAAATACTTGTTTACGGTGAAAAATGAAATGAAATTATGCGGAAATACAT